ACAGATGCATTCCTCAGTGTTTGCTGTGAGATGATTCCACTAGGTTTTTATCTGTCGATGAGTGAAAATGATGCTTTCTGGGTATTTTTGTTTCTTCTCAGGGGACTCGGACAGTGTCCTACTATTTTGCTTCGGTCCTGTGTTCACGAAGAGAATTCACAGTGAAGTCTTGGAAAACGGTCATGCAGTTTGTGAGTATAATGGCCTGATTACGGTGGCCCATGACTTCTTAGAGTGTCCCATTGCTGTGTTTTCGAAGTAGCCGGTCATTTCTTCGGTTCCTTCATCTATGTGTTCCCCCATTTCAAGAGCTAATTATAAAACGCTACCAAAATATTAGACAGCAATTACAAAAGTATTCATTAGAGGCATTCCTGTTGGATATAAAAACATTTAATTGCAGAATACTTGTCGCTTTTCATGAATAATTAAACATCCACTCATGCTGGAACTGGCCATAATCAGGTCTGAAATGGAACTGAACATTAAATAAATAACTGAAGCAAAATAGATAAGCGGTAGGATAACGGATATGGTGTAGTGGCAAGTGGCGCATTATCATCCATGCATGGTCCGAAGATCAACTCCTGGATCGTTATCCACTTAGGCAAACCATCATCCTCGTCTCGAGGGGTGAAAGCACTGACTTGAACATCCAGCTGGCCACCGCAGTTTCTTGTATAGGCCATATGAACATTTATTAGGCCACTACGATTCTGATTGGAAGTCGAATGCAAGGCGCATTCCAAAACGGGGTTTAAAACCCCCAAAAATTGTGGACATTGGAATAATGTTTGTAATAGATACTACGGTTTTGGTAGTGTCTGGACAAATCAAGCTCGTTACTCATTCTTATATTACTTTCTGAATTCTTTCTTGAAATACGTCCTGCAACTTACAACTTTTCAGATTCGGATGTTCGCCGAAGAATGCCTACTCGGCCTATATACGATCAACAAGGCATTATTCCTAATCTCCAGACGAATCAGGTACCCAAGAAACCTCCTCAGGATATTAGATGAACAGGCTGGTGAGTTTGAATGAGATTTGGTCTTTTGAGACGGCATGCGATAGTGTCTCAATTGCCACTGTGTTCCTTGCTTTTCTTACTTCAATATGTAAACAAAGGAATTAGTAAACAAGGTTTGTCAAAATCGATTCCATTACCTTAGGCATGATACATTGCTGATACACTCAGTGCGGATTCCCGTACGGCTTCCATCCATGCGGCCGTGATATTTACTTTTTCAAAGAGGAATCCTCTGATAGCGTCCCACATTTTTCTTTCGCAAAATATACCCTGTTGAAAGCTCTCAATAAAATTTTTCAAGAAATCGCCTGAAACGCATATTCCACTTAAAATAGTTGGTTATAGGGCCATTCATGTTCGTACACATCCCCAACATAGTTGATCTCCCTCTAAGGAATGGATGAGAGCGGGACTCGTGCTATAGGCCGGACGCAAGATGAGGCTATATCCTCAAATCAACGATTTCGAGCGTAAATACATCTCATGTCAAGCCTTTTGACGGATAGTGGGGAAAGGTATAACTTAAATGCTGAGTTTTACGAAAAAAAATTAGGTTTTCGCCTACTTGATGGCTAGCGGTTATGAGGAACAATTCACAGTCTTCTATCCTTTCCTTCATTACGAGACCATGATGATGATCCACAATCGAGTCGTCTTTGCCATGGCAGATGAGCGTCGGACATTTGATGTCTTGCGCTTTGTCGTAGCTGACAAGAAATGTTTTTCTATCCAGTTGAACAAACATGGAGAGTACGAAAATCAGGTGCTAAGCCGTCACTCTGGGCGATGCGCCATGCAGTTGGCTTTCATCCAAAGCTATTAAGGTGTTTGCATATGCATTTGATCAACACAATAATTTGTGGAACTTGCAATTAATATTCATGCTCAGGCAAATGTCCTCCTACATAGATTTTAGTATTCATTTATCTTATCACGTTCCATTTTTTTTATTTTTGAGAGCTCTAAATTCCTCATTGTTGATTAGTTTTATTTTTGGGCTCTGAATTTTTCATTGCGGATCAGGAGTGATTCTCTCGTTCTATATAGTTTTACTTCGAATCCTTTGATTATCACAATTTTCACATCATCGCTGAACGATTAGGGGTGATTCACTTATTCTATATAGCTTTACTTCGAATCCTTTGCCTATCACAATTCCCACATCATCGCTGAACTTCCTTTTGTGTGGGCCATTTACCTTATGATATAGGAAGGGCGCCATATTAGCGTTGACGTGATCAGGTGGCCGAGTGGTTAAGGCGATGGACTGCTAATCCATTGGGGTTTCCCCGCGTGAGTTCGAATCTCATCCTGATCGTAGTTTTGCCAACGATTGAAATTTTTTGTCTCTTCAGTACTTTTCACTAAGATGTCTTTGGAAAAGGAAAAAAGAAGGAATCCATCCCGTCATTAACTGGAGCAGGTGGTAATGGTATAGCGATTGGAGGCGCTTTGTTGAATCAGAATTCTCGTGGATCGGATTCAGTCTGATTGTGAGCTCATATAGTTTGTTGATGACACACTATTTTGAATAATCGAAATCATATTTGTCTGAAAACAAGCAGGCAAATCGGGTTTCATTGATATACGTTAGCCGTCCCGTTTTATAAAACACAAAGGTAGCCAATCAGTTCCGCTCTTCGGAATGGTTCAAGTGCGTGGCGCATCCCGAGGGGATTGATAGACACCACATTTTGGTCAACTATTGTGAATTATGTGTGCAGTCTTACTTCGAAAACATATCCAGTCGAGATGATCCCATGATATTTGGTCGGTGAAGAATTACTCGCCATAGCGAAGTGAACGGCGCGATCAGTACCATGGCGCCGAGCTGAATGATGGTTTAAGGATGCCGTCCACTGTGAGCTTATTATTGGGTTGTAACATAAGTCCGCAGAGTTTTGCGTTAGAGTTATTTTACAACGAGTTATTTTGTTTTTTAGCAAACTGTATGCATTCATTTGAAAAAGCTCTTTCTCCTCTACGAAACAGTTTTATTCGTTTTTAGGATAATTAAATTGTTCGTCTTTTTTCGGGCTCTGAAATGGAATATCCAGGAAG